TTAAAAAAAGAGAAAGATTTCACTTCCTAGAAGTCATACTAGTTGTTACTGTGTGCTGTTGAGTCGAACTGACCCATAGCTGCCTCTCGAGCTTTCCAGAGGCAGTAAATCGCATGGGAGGAGGTTGCTCATCCTTCTCCCACGGAGCAGCTGGTGGATTCCAACCACACGCCTTCAGGATTGCAGTGCAGCTTCCTACCACTAGGCCGCCAGAGCTCATAGTACTTGTTTCGTTGTGTGCCACTGAGTTGCTTGTGACTCATGGTGATCCTGTGTACAACAGCCCTGAACCCTAGTCTATCCTGAGATAACTGCATTGTCTCTGACACGTCGACCCCCATAACCCCAGGCACTGAGTGAGTCCAAGTCATCTAGGGTCTTCTTCTCTTGCAAGGTCCCTCCACCCTTCTGCTATTTCATGAACTGCCTTTCAAATAGCCATGTTTGAGGATCTCTTGCTCTGTACCTCAAAGGTGAGATTTAATGAATTACTTAGCTAAATAGGCTACAGTAGGAATACTCAGCACCGCTGCAGACAGGAAACAAGGCAGGAAGCACTGCCCAGGATAAGCACGCTTCCCAGTGTGACCAGCCCTCGCAAGCAAACCACGTCAAGGTGTCAGGCTGGTCAAGTGTTCTTACCCGGAGACTCTCCAACCGACTTGCTCCTTCGGGTCTGCCGGGGGGTCGAGCCTTGTTTGGAGGGTTTGTTTTCCTCTGCCATTCTCACTCGCTCTTCACCACCCGCACGGCTCCCGTTTTCTAGATATCCATTCACTTCTCGAGCATGAGCTCCGTTCCCCAAGGACAAATCTTTATTTAAAAGGGATTTGACTTTAGCCAGGTAGCCCTCCTACAGCAGGAAAGGATAATTTAAGTAGCAGTGAATGTAAACAAGTAGCAATAAGAACAAGGAAACACGTGTGTTTCCTTTATAATTATCAGGTAACAAGGACGGCAGGAGACTATTCTGCCTCCCCAGTCACAAGGTCCACAGAAGAGTGTTCTAGAAAGCTGGATACTGAGAAGCGACTTACCTCTGATAATTCTTCTTTACGTAATTTAGTTTCCAAATCACGTAACTGATTCTTTATTTCCGTTTGTAAAAATTCATGCAGAAGATTCAATTTCTCCTTCACACATTCCTAAGGAAGGATATTAGGTTTAGAAGTCTTGGAACTCCCAAGCCATTAGCTGATGAACTAAAATAATTCAGCTGCCTGTCACATACTGATACTAAAGACAGCAGCCATCACTGTCTGTGCCCTCAGAACCAAAAAAAAAAAAAGTCAGCCTTTAATATTTATAAAATACATTCGTCCTCTTTCCAACAAGACCATATCACCTTCAGAATGGTGAAAATGGGAAAAATCAGAGTGGCAACGTTAGAATAAGAACTGCTTCTGACAACAGTGTAACCAGGACAGGTTACAGGAAAGAGGCGATAGTTTCAAGTCTATGTGGTGACTCAATTCTAGATGGTAAAACTCTGCAGAGTTCCAAAAACAGAAATGTCTGAATGTCTGAATTTTTTTTAAAAAAACTCAACAACTAATCACAATCTGGAACAAGAGGTACATTGCAAAGTGGGCTGAGGGGAGGGGAATAGAGGGAGGGAGGAAAATGTGCAAGAGTGAATGAATTAAAAACCACAAAAGCAAAAAACTCTAATATTACTGTAGCACATCCAAATTATCCCACATGGAAGGAGGAGGGCAAACCTAAAACTTTATCTTCTCCTTAGCCACAAAGTAATCGTTAAGTAGCACGTGAGGTAAAGGAAGAATGTAAAAGGCAGAGATTACCTTTTCTGTTAAACTATCCCGATCCAAATCTTTGAGCCTGGGGGGGAGGGGAGGGGAAGAAAGAGATGTAATTAAAAAAATTAATTCACTTTGGTTTCTAAAAATCTTTAAGAATGCTGGGGGCAGGGAAAGATGTTGGGGAACAGTGAGTTAGTTCATATGAATGATAAATCGCACACCTCACTCGAAGAGCCTAGTCATCTTCACTGACACACAGTGAAAAACTGTTGAACTGATGTATTTTTACCATAGTTAAAATGATTGACTACTACCACCATAAATTAACTCTGCAACATTAACACACGGTTGCTGTTGCTACAGTTAGTCCAAGCTGGACAGTTACTGTATAACACAGTTTCACTCTCTTATAGAACAGAGGACTCTAACATGGTTGCTGTTGCTACAGTTAGTCCAAGCTGGACAGTTACTATATAACACAGTTCCACTCTCTTATAGAACAGAGGACTCTAAACCCTTAGCTTTTCTTGGCTGTCATCTATGGAACTGTGAAAGAGCTGGCTGGGTGAGTCCAAACTACCAACCTATTTGCAAGATGCTGGAACCACCCAGGCATTTTCATACATGTGAAAGTTAGGAAGAGGGGAAAGTGAGTGATTCTCCTTCCTCTCAAGTCTATGGCTGATGACACACTAAGAAGTCATTTTGATCTGAATGAGGCTCCTATTTGGGCGTAGGTTTTTCTGACAATAGGGAGAAATGGTCAAAGAGCTCTCTTCCAGAACAGATAGCCTTTTTACAAGGACCGGAAGAAGGAGCTAGACTCGCCTGTTCAATGACAGAGCTGCTCTCTATCTGGATTTAGGAAGAGCCTGCACAAGGGTGTAGGCCATGGTGATTGGTGTCAGACCCAGAGGCACAGGGTACCATGGGGAACAGCAAGCTAAGGTCCCCTAGGGCCAAGCTAGGGGGTGGCAGTATTCTCATAAGAAATGTGAGATATGGTGGCAGGAGAGCAAGTTAGAAAAGTCGACTGCCGTCTAACCAGAGAGTCTACCTGCAGGAACGTTTGCACATTAACTGGAACTTCCAGGAGTTCGGCTGGAAGGTCATTTGATTACGAAACATTATTGTCTTGCCTTTTTCTGAAGGGAAAACAAATACGACTGGAGGAGAGGGAGTCGAGAGGGTACTCATTGAGGTCCTGCCTGCAGGCTGTGGGGCGAGAACAGGTTTAACCAGCTGGGTGAGTGTCTGGGGGTGGGAGTAGGGTGGGGAAGCACCCTGGGCAGGACTGGGCGTCTGGGCTTCTTCCATCCCAGGCCGCCGTCGGCCTGTCCACACAGACAGGGACCAAGTGTAGCTGTCACAGAAACAGCTCCTCCAAGCTGGTCCTTCTGTGAGGCAAGTTCGAGCTGCAGTACAAGGCTGTGCAGAATGGCTGGCAAGCAGTGTCTGCTCCGACTTCAGTCACAGCTCATTCCATGTGGACTTCACTCATCACTTCCACCCACGGGTGCTCACTGCGTGCCAGGCCCTGTTCCGGGCAGTGACCTGGTGACCGGAAGAGGTGCCAGACTGTTGGAGGAGGGTGGAAAGAATTATTGCAGGAAAGACTGCGCTCTCTGCAGGTACAGTGGTGCTAAGACTGTGTGGCACAAGATTCTCAGGGGCTCTAGCAGCTTATTCCACCCAACATTCATTCATTCCGCTCTGCTAGAATGAAGGTCCACGTAGAGGCCTCCAGGCAGGCAGCCAGAGAACTCAGGGCTTAACGCAGAGGCAGCCAAGAAGCTGAGTTATCTGACTTCTCATTCTGTTCATTCAAACTGCAGCAGGACACAGCCTCAACCTCGGCCAGCCAGAGAGGCCCTTGTTCCTGAGACCTCAGGAGTTAACCGGCTAACAGAGCCCAGCCAAGGCGCCTTTTCCAGAACGCTGATCACACCTACCTGTGGGCCAGGAAAGACTTGCAGCTCAATCTACAGCCTAGGAACCGGGGTATCTAGCCTGACAAAAGGCCACAGATAATCAGCACAACTTGATTAGATTGTCTTGCCTGGTGAAGACTGGATTTAACCTGCCAGACCCCAGAGTGGAAGGGTGCTAACAGGAAGGCGGGGGCCCTGCTCAGGTTAGTTCCTCATCCCACTGGGGCCCTAAGTCGCAATTTCATGCCTTCTCCTCAAGGACAGGAGCCATATGCTAAGAGATAGGCCACCATAGAACCCTTTGCAGTTTGAAAGGCCATGGTCTTTCACTCTTCGCTCCTTCCCTCACAGATTTAGTCTTTTAAGGGGGAAAAGACAGGCGAGCTCTGGTGTCCTAGTGGCAGGAAACTGCACTACAATCCCAGAGGTATGCGGTTCAAATACACCAGATGCTCTGCTGAATAAGGAGGAACAATAGCCTCCTGTACCAGTCAGATCCAATTTGACGGTACACATATAAAATAAATCAATAAAAATTTTAAAAAAAAGGGGCGGGGGAAGACAGAACGATAAATTATCCTGAAGATTAAGCACAGCATCAGGATCTTCAGGCCTTGGAAGAGACAGCATCAGGAAGGACGCTGCAGCAGACTTGGTGTCTTCAACAGCAGGCCAGTGGCTCCAAGTACGCAGGAAACACTCATCTGCTGACGCACAGGGTAGGAACGGCAAGCCCAAGGAGGGGAAGCTGTGGGAGTGCGGTCAGGACCATCGGGCTGAAAAGCCCATTTTGTTCTATGGTTTACGAACCATCCACGGGTTCACAGGGCAGGAGGAAGTCACAATAGCAAAATTCAGGGAAGTGAACGTGGAAGCTAAGTCTCACTGTAGACCGGACAGCAGATCACCAGCTGATCGGTGGCTATGGTAACCCCAAGGCTTTTATCCACCAGTGCCTCCTAGAGAGAAAGACGGGCAGTCGGCGCCTGTACAATTCACTGCCTCCGAAAACCAGTGGAGGGCCAACTAGGAGTCGCTTCGGACATGACAGCAATGAATTCTTTTGAGCTCATGAGCTGGGATCAAACAGAAATGTCCCATAGGGTTTTCCAAGCCTGTGATCTTTACACGACCTGACCTGCGTATTTCTCCTGCGGAGCAGCTGGTGGATTCAAACCTCTGAACTTCTACTTAGGAGCTGGGTGGTTTGACGACCACACCACCAACGTGTCTCGCAGACCAGTCAGGAGCAAAGTGAAAACGGAAATGAACCTTGCTGAATCAGAGTTGCTCTGAAATCTGGGTGTAGCAGGAGTGGACATTACACAGCAAGTTCCTGAAGGCTGTCAGCCCTTTCTCCGACACTGGCTGAATGGGTGAGGCACATTTTCTCACATTCTGCAGAACAACGTCCCTTCCCTAGAACCATCCAGGGGTTCTGGTAGCACTGGAGTTAATGACATCTGTCTGCTCAGCAGAATGGCTGCACTCCACAGGAAAAGAGAAGTGGTGGCCTGCTTCTATAAGCATTTCCAGCCTCAGAAACCCTACAAGGCATTCCATCGGGCTACCGTCAAATATGAATCCATTTGAAGGCAGTGCACTTGCTTTTTTTTTTATTTTAGTTTAAAAATGTTATAATCATAGCAACTCAGGACTATCATCTTACTTAGCAAAAGAGACGTTAGAGATGGGATGAAGGTTATGGATCTTGAAACCAGGAGATTATCCCAGATTATCCAGTGGTCTCAATCTAATGACAAGCCATTAGAAGAAGAATGTTCCCAGCTGCAGTTAGAGATGGGATGTGAGGACCTGGCCCATCATTCCCTACCAGCTTTGAAAACTGAACAAAGAGGCCACAAGCCAATCGGTGTGATGGCCTCGAGGAACCGGGGAATGGGCCTCAGCTTACTGTGGGCCAGAAACCAGGCCTAAATCCTCCAATTGCAAAGAGCTCAGTTCTGCCAATAACACAAAAGAGCAGGAAATAGATTCTCCTCTAGAGCCTCCTGGAAAGCATGCAGCCTGCCAGCCAACACCTTGGATTTTAACTCCGACAGATCAGTGTTTGATCTCGGATCCACAGTCTTCAGACAGTTTTATGTTTTACTGAAGAAGCCAAGTTTGTGGTTAAACTGTTAGTACAAATTTCAGGAACCTGTGAAACTCAGAACTTGATGGGAGGGAGACTAGGCAAGACAGGAGTTTGAGGAGGGATGTCTGGGGGGCCCTGGTGGCATCGTCTGGAAACAGTGGAGCTGCTGACCCAGACACCCCCTATCTCCAGCAGCTCCAAGGAAAAGCTAGGCTGTCTCCTCCTGTTGCAATTTGAGCCCTCAGAAACCCAACAGGGGGGAGCTCTGG